ACTGGATTATTTGGAGGGTATTATACTAAGTGAAATAAGTCAATCAGAGAAAGACAATTATCATATGTTTTCACTCATATGTGGAATATAAGAAATAGCACAGAGGATCATAGGGGAAGGGAGGAAAAACTGAACGGGAAGAAATCAGAGAGGAAGTCAAACCCTGAGAAACTCATGACTCCAGAAAACAAACTGAAGGTTGTGAAAAGGGAGGTGGGTGGAAGAATGGGGTAACTGGGTGGTGGGCATTAAGGAGGGCACGTGATGTGATGAGCACTGGGTGTTATACGCAACTAATGAATAATTGAACACTACACCAAAAACTAATGATGTACTACTATATGTTGGTTAACCTGAACTTAAATAAAATAAATAAAAATAAAATTATTACTTTTTAAAAATAAAAACATTCATGACAAAAAGCCAGTCTACACAGACAGGTCTAAAATGAAAGCACAAGACTCCCTTACACACCACACCTCATTCTTAGACCTTCTCCCCAAGAAAAACCACAGTTACCGATTTCTTATAATCCTACTCAAACATTCTTATGTATCTATCTCAAAAACATTAACAAATTAAATAGGTGCATAGACATACCAAATACACATTTCTGACTTTTATTTTTTTCACGTAAGTATATATCTTGGGTGTTATTTCCGTAGCAATACCTACAGATAGATTTCTTTCTTTTGAAAGGATAAATCATAAAGTTTTCCATCTTCTATTGGAACATCTTTAGGCTGTTGCTGGTTTGCTGCTATTACAATGTCCTATTTTCCCCCTAGAATCCCCCCATTTTCCCCACAATGTTTTTCTAATGAGTGTTGGAGTGTGTATGTTTGCGTGTGTGTATTACAATTCTGCAACTATGAACGTTTGTAAGCCTAAATTTCCAGTCGCATAGAACATTCTGTCTTTCTAAGAACAGGGGAGAGCTTCAGAAGAAATTGTCTATTATCATTCTTTTTTAGAAAGTGTACACCTTCATCTTTAGGCATCATTTTCCAAAAATTTTGAGGAAGACAAGTTCTTATTTTTATTTTTGCTACAAGATTTAATAACATTGCCTGAATAACATTTCTCTCCTTTTTGGGTGTTTCATCTTATTCTAGTCTAGCACGGTTATTTTGTATTGAATTTCAGCGAACATTTCTCCTAAAATGCCTTGGGTGTGTAGAAAGTACCTGAGCATTATTCCAAAGTGACTAAGCATCATCTGATATTTGGTAATGGACAAAATAATTGCTGTTGTGTTAGAACTGGATGAAGATGGTGACATTTGAGAAGCTGAGAAGCTTGAATACAGAAGTGAGTGCCTTTGGGAAGTTTTCATTTCAATCTAGGTGAAATTAAACACAATGGAATCATGAAGATGAAGATATGGCTTACTGTAACTCCCTCAAATAAATTTGTTTTTGGCATTTGAACAAAGTTTAGAGGAAATACAAAGGTAAGTTTGACCATTCCTCTTTGTTGCTTAAAACTCTGTCCTTTATATTATAGTGCTATTGATACGTATAAATCTTCATTCTAAAGTGATGTTTAAGACAACAGATTGACCTTACATGATTTCAGTAGGTTTTCATCAATTTCCAGATTGAAGTCAGAGGCAAGTATATTTCAATTGTTTTAAAAACTGGACTATTTCCAGAATATTTTATTGGAAAGAAATCTAACATGGCAAAGGAAAGGAGTTCACACAACTTTCCCTCAACAAGCTAGTCACTCAGCAGGTGAAAATACAACTACAGGAGTGCCACTTTTAGTCATTGATGGGTAACTCCTTCTTAAACGGACCCTCCTTCACATAACAATATAAAGCACGAGAAAAAGTATTTTTATTTTTTATTATTTTTTTTTAGAAAAAGTAACTTAAAAAACCCACATCTAAATCAAGTGGAGAATAACCAACAGCAGAAAGATTTTCGGGGTGGAGAGGGGTGGGTGTCAACACTTGGAGGAAGGGAAAGAGTCGGTTTCCTACATTTTATAACCTTTAGTCTAAGACTGACCCAAGTCTGTGTAGTCAGGGGGGTGTCTAAAAACTCTGTTAGAAAATACACAATATTTCTGGCTTAAAGAACCAGAGGTCAGAGTTTGGGGCAACCATACCTTTTGGAAAGTGACGGAGGAAATTGCAGAAAAGAGAGAGCTAGAGAGTTTAAAGTCTACATCATGCATAATATCTGAAACGTGCTTATGCAAGAGAAACTCAAAGCAGCCCAGCTAAGCCCCAAAAAACTGAACTCGGACTAGAGCTACTATTTACTGAAAGCAACATCAAGTTTGCAGCTTTCGTTTAACCATGTGAATTGTCCATTTAAAAAGAAAACCAATGCCATTGGCAGAATATAACAGAATCCAGTCTTCATAACATTAGCTTTACAATGTTCAGGTTACAATCCAAAATTACTTGGTAACACTTCAATAAATAAATAAGTAAACAAACAAACAAACCAGGAAAATGTGATCTGTTCTCATAAGAGAAACAATCAATGGAGACTGACTCCATAATTATCTAAATACTGGAATAATCAAGCAATGCTTTAAAAAAGCAGCAAGTATAACAACGCTCAATGAGGTAAAAGAAATATGCCCACAGGAACTAAAAAATAGGACGTATCAGTAAGGAAATAGAAAATATTTTAAAAAGAATAAATAAATAAAAATTCTAGAACTGAAATATACATCTTTTTTTTTAAAGATTTTATTTATTTATTTGAGAGAGAGAGAATGAGAGAGAGCACATGAGAGGGGGGAGGGTCAGAGGGAGAAGCAGACTCCCTGCCGAGCAGGGAGCCCGATGCGGGACTCGATGCGGGACTTGATCCTGGGACTCCAGGATCATGACCTGAGCCGAAGGCAGTCGCTTAACCGACTGAGCCACCCAGGCGCCCTGAAATATACATCTTTTAAACAAAACTTGCTGGATAGAATTAATAACAGAATGAAGATGGTGGGAGAGAAGTCAGCAAACTTAAAGATAATTCAATAGAAATTATCTAGTGTGAAAAACACAGAGGGAAAAGATTTAAAACAATAGAGGGGCACCTGGCTGGCTCAGTTGGCAGAGCATGTGACTCTTGATCTCAGAGTCATGAGTTAGAGTCCCACACTGGGTGTGGAGCTCACTTAAAAAAAATTAATAGAGCCACATGTGTATTTGTGACTATATGAAGAGGTCTAGCATATTTGTAACTAGAGTCTCAGAAAGAGATGAGAAAGACAGTGGGGCAGAAAAAACATTTCAAGAAGTACTGAAAATTGCTCACATATGGTAAAGGACAAATTTGCAAATTCAAGAAGATTTGCAAATGCCAGGCAGGATGAATAATGACAAACAACACATTATATATACACAGTGATCTGAATAACTGATGATATATCAGAAACAATGGAGGCCAGAAAACCATAGAACAACGTCTTTAAATTGTGGAGTTAAAAACATCATCAACCCCAAATCCTATATCCAACAAAAATATCCCTCATGGATGAAATGAAATAGACATTTTAAAATAAAACCAAGAGAATGTACTCCAATGGATCTGCACTAAAACAAAAATGCTAAAGGCAGTTCTTAAGGAAATGAGATCAAGTGGAAAAGTAGATCTTTGAGAAGGACTGAAGAATACTGAGCAAGGTAAATATGTGGGTAAATATAAAAGACCATTTGTCCTCTTAATTTCTTTAAAATACATATCACATTGCAGGTTTTATTTTGTTGTGGATATAATACATTTTACAACTATAATGTAAAGGACAGGTGGTGCGGTTAAATGCACGTATTAGGTGAAATAGTACAATATTATCTAAAGTAGACACTGAAAATTAGTCTATATATTGTAATTCACAGAGCAAACACTAAAAAATCGTACAGAGGAATAACAAAAACCAAAGACAAATTAAAATAGAATTCTAAAATATATTCACATAAACCAGAGGGAACAAAAAGAAAACATATAGTAAAATGGTAGGCTAAACCCAACCATATCAATAAATGCCTTAAACAAAAGTGTGCTACACACTCTCTATCAAATTAAAATGTAGAGACTATCAGATTGAAGTTTTTTAAGAGTCCCAACTACATATTGTCTGTAAGAGATGCTATTTAAAATATAGATAGGAATGTAGACTTATTTCAGATTAGGTTTGGCAAATAGCTTTCAAAAGTCCCAAAAGTTCCCATCAAATTCTCTCCAAGTACTATCCCCATTGTATTAATGCTCTATCCTTTAGCATTAACTACGTCACTCATATTTGCTAATTCTCATAAATGCGAGCCAAGAGAATAAAAGCAGTGATCTAAACAAACACATATTCAACATTCTCCCTAAGCCCATGGGGGGGAAAAAGTAAAAGATCCAGAAAGTTCTCTCACTGTCTGGTTTCTGATGATTTCTAGAACACAGTGTGAATACAATTACAATATCCAGGAGAGGGTAGGAGGTGTAAAATTGATCAATTAATCCATCAATCAATCGATCAATATCTAGTTCAAACAAAAAACTCTTTTAGAGCTAGTAAGGATAATGTTATCCCTCACTGAAATTCACTTAGCAGGCACTGAAAGGAAAGCAATTCATAATTAAGTAATTATAAGGAATCCCCTGAAATTATAAAATGTGAACGTTCCATGTGGTTCTCTAACACTCAACATCTTGCTTCGCCATTGCTGGGTCCATTTTATATATATGAAGCTGGAAGTGATAGATGTCTCTTAACTAACCAAGCTTTATGATGTATCAGACTAAAAAATTTTCTGGAGTCCTATTTAGTTTTTCACGAGAATACATTTACAAAATAGTATTTTCATTTCCATTAAGTTTTCTTAGAAACAATGCCAGTATCACCCACAATCATACTTTAAGCAGCAACATCATAGCAGCATACTTTATGACCTAAAAGTGAATCTTTAAAATATCAAATGTGATATATTGCCCCCCAAATAGAGAATTCTTATCCATGAGGGCAATTATGGATCAGCATCTCCTACTTACCTGATGAAGCCCCTTTCTTCAGGAAACCCCCAGTTCCTTCCAACTCCATCAGGGTGGTTACCAAACACTGCCAAACATGTAATTTTAGATATTTGTAGTAGTTGAACAAACAGAATCGTGATTATATTTCACAATTCACATAACTGATTTCTATACCCATACCCAGATCTATAGCTAGTGTCCCTGACAGTTACGGAGCTGTTTTTCTTCCAAGAAGTTGGATAGGGTAGGGGTACATCCCACTCGTGCCTTTCTATAATAGTTCCACAGATGAGACCTTCTGGTGGTTGATGGATGATGAGGGAGGATAGATCAAGGATCATTTCCTAGGTCTTTTGATTGGTGTCTAAATTAAAGTCTGGGCCATTCACTTAATATAAAAGAATCACATGGGGGAAAGTGAAGTGTTTGAACTTGGACATATTGATTTTGATGTACAAATAAGGTAGCCTGGAATTCACATGAAATAACTGCAATCAAAGGAAGATTCGGGGTCATCAGTGCACAAGTGATCACTGAATTCAGGAGCATGGATATGTTCATCCAGGAGACTGTGGATTCAGAGAAGAATATCAAGGATGGAGCCCTGGACACAGCAATGTCTAACGGAAAACAAGAAGGCCAAGACGGTGATGGGGAAGAAAGTCAGGGAAAGGGGGTTAGTGGCAAGAGTTGTGCTACTGAATTCAAAAGGAAGAGAGAACAGTGGGCAGGAGGGTTAAATGGAGCAGAATGAATATGCATTTTCCCAACATAATCTTGTGAATGCTAAACAAGGAAAGGTATTTCCCCTCTTAGCTTAATGCCTCTGGTATCTTTGTCTTTTTCATTTCAGCTATTTTCGGGCTAATTTTTAAAACTAACCTTCAGAATACGTATGTCATGCATGCTTATGTATCAGTTTGCTAGGGCTGCTATAATAAATTACCACAAATTTGGTGGCTTAAAAAATTTTGTTCTCTCATAGTTCTAGAGCCCAGAAGTCTGAAGTCAAGGTGTTGGCAGGGTGAACTCCTTCTTATTGAGTAAGGAAAGGGTTAAGTACAGGCAGGGCGAGACAGGAGGCCCCTGACTAGGCTCTGAAACTATTCCTGGCTGGCAGAGAGGCTAACATAGAGTGGAACAAGAGATAAGTGAACAGGGGCGCCTGGGTGGCTCAGTTTGTTACACGTCTGCCTTTGGCTCATGTCATGATCTTGCAGGGTGGGGTGTCTTGGATGGAGCCCTGCATTGGACTCCCTGCTCAGCGGGGAGCCTGCTTCTGCCTCTCCCCCTACTCATGCACTTTCTCTCTCTGTCAAATAAATAAATAAAGTCTTTAAAAAATATATCTTAAAAAGAGAGAGAGAGAGATAACAAACCAGACCAGCTGGCTCTGGATGTTAGCGGGGTTTTTTTGTTTGTTTGTTGGCAACTACATTGTAACCACAGAAAATGACCAGACCTCAAAGAAAAAGTAAGCCATTAGGGATGCTATCTATAGTCTTTGCTCAAAGCAAGATGGCACAAGCATCTCAAGGCCACAGGCTTCCTGGTCAGTTCTTAATAAAAGACTGTCAGTAAAAGCCCACAGTGGCAACCCATTCGGGACCCCTCTCACTCTAGAGAGCTTTTTTCCTTTCCTTTCTATTCTCACCTTCACTTAATAGAAGTTCACTTCACTTCACTCTTTCGTGTCCGTGAGATTCATTCTTCCACTCCAGCGAGAACCCTGCGATCCTGCAACATTAGGGTCTCAGAGGGAGAATCTGTTCTGCACCTTGCTCCTGGCTTCTGTGGGTGGCCAGCAATTCTTGGCATTCTTTGGCTTGAGGCAGGATAACTCCAATCTCTGCCTCAGTATTCAGACAGCATTCTTCCTGGGTGTGTGCGTCCAAATTTCCCTCTTCCTATAAAGACAGCAGCCATTGGATTAATATAGTAGGACCTCATCTTAACTTGATTAAATCTACAAACATATTTCCAAATAGGGTCATATTCTGAGGTTCTGGCTCGACATGAATTTTTGGAGGACATTATTCAACCGAGTAGAATCACAAACTTACAGGTGCTATAGCTACTAGACTTTAGAAAGAGGGATAAATTTAAGCTATTAGAATGGCACACAAAATAAAGAAATTGTATGTGGGCACCTGTTGGAGGAGGTCATTGAGAGGACATGACCTCCCACTGACCTATGAATTGGACCTGGGGAAGCAGAGGTTCCTCACCACCTTCTCTGTCCTTGGAATGTATGTTCTGCCCACAGTGGAACCACTGCAAGGACACTACCTTAACAGAATACTGTGTTATTGAGACCATCTGGACTCTACGCTGACTGAACCCAGGTAAGGCTTCTACAGAAACTCTCAAGATTCTGGCCGGCAGGGGCAGAGATCTATTCATCTTGCTGCTGCCCAAGACAAGCCTTGTATGTGAGCTCCCTTGCTTATTAAACCTGATACCAATCTGGAGTGGTCTGCCTCTTTCTTTGGTCTTTCCTTCCCTCCCAGCATGGGGTCAGTTTTGAAAGTCACAGCAGGCGTTCCCAAGGTTGGAACCAACAGCATGGAATTTTTTGCAACTTAAGTTTCCTTCCTTTGTAGTAGGAGCTCAAAGTAAGTTAAGACTCACTTTGTAAAAATTCTTCACACTCAATATTTTTTAATTTGGCATCACATCTGCTCTGAGACACATCCCCCAGAACTGTTTCTATAAAGAAGAAATTAAAATTTTTTTCACTCACTAAAACATAGAATCAGAAAGCTTTTCCAACCCTTTGGGATCTGGCCTGGTAGTTTCCATAGCCGAGCAGATGGCTAAACTAATGGACACTTTAAAACTCTGGAAGTAATGAGGTGTGGCAAAGGACCATACGTTTCTTTAGACAAAAGTACCTTCTCTTCATTTTCACCAAATATTTACACTGTACCATGGTCTTTGTGGCACCATTAGGTAGGAAATGTATTGAGGCCTAAAACAAAATTCTCTCCGGGGGGTGACACTGGAAGGAGAAAAACTGCACAACCCAGAAGTAACATTTGGGCTGATTCTGACATATTTTGAGCCATTCGGTCAATTCAAGAAGTGATTCTAAGATAGGATATGATTCACGAGCAATCCTTCTTAATCACTCCTGGGTTCCTTCCCCTCCTACAGTGCTTGGCTTTCATGATACTGTCCAGGGTCCCCAAACCGGACCAGAACAGGTCTAGCAAAGCTCCATGAATAATCCTCCAAACTATCAGGCATCCCAGTCCTCCAGACACCAGAACACCACCCTCTCTTCTCTGGCCCCTATCTGTCCTCCACTCTCTTGGGAGTTTCCCACCTGAAATCTGAAACTGGCCAGTACTTGGAGGGCAGGGAGCGACCTGGCAGAGACACTGGCCACTCCGGGGTGGTAGGTGCAGTTTTAATAAGCAAAGGGAACTTAGGGAGGAGGCTCATCTTCAGTGCCAACAAGGTGAGCGCATCCCTGCATCCCTCTGCCAAAGCTTACAAGTTGATGCAGAGGCCTGAACTAGGCTTGCTCAGGTATACCCTGTAGGTGTTCTCAACACTAGGACACTACCTCAAGGCTATGACCGTGGTGCAGCCCCTGGGAGCCCAACGGGCAAGCAGAACCCACTTTCCAAGGACAGGGGAAGGGGTGAGGAGCCTCAGATTGTCCAGGTGCAGCTCAAGGGTCAACTGGAGGTCATGTCTTTTCCATGACTTCCCCCAGCAGAGCAGTATTAGGATGGTCTCCATTCCAGCTCAAGTCCACAGGGCCCTCCATAGTCCAACACGTAATTATAAAGAGGCGCCAATACGTATTTCAAAGGCTCTGTATTTGAAATACGAGTTTCAAAGACTGGATGGCATTTTTTGAGAGGAAAGGCAAGTAGTAGCCTACATGACTCTTTTGTGAAACAAATGCTTTAGGACTGTTGCTACAGATGAAACTGTGAGACAGAAGCGTTTCTAGATAGGAGCGAGAACCAGGGTCTTAGAACTGTTCAAACACCTTTTAACTGCTCTGGCCGCCTAATGGACACACAGTCCGAAGTTTGGCAGGAGCGCTTGTCTCCTGCCCGAAGATTTTCTGCCAGGGAGCCCAGGGTTCTGTCTCTCGCTTGGGATAACAAGTGGCCGCGCGCGGTCACCGCAGCTCCTGGGTCCCGCGGCTGCCCTCAGCGTCCCGCCGCCTCGGGGCCCGCTAGCCCCGGCAGGAGAGGCTGGCGCGCGATGCTTCCCTCGGCCCCGCAGAGACTTCGGTTCCACTTTTCCTTTCCAGGCCTCTCCCACTTCCTTTCCCACCGCTCCCCGCCCGTCCGACCGCCAAGCCCGGGCCGCACCTCCGCGGGTGTCGTCCGCCTCCCGCAAGGTCCCAGCCGATTCCCCCCGGGGACTCAAAGGGGGAGAATTCCTGTGGGTCCCAGGAGTGCCAAGAGTGCGCAGCAGGACGGGAAATTGCAAAAGTCCTCAGCCCTCTGCCCTCCCCCGCGGTTTTCCCGTAATGCCCGCCCCTCGGCGCTCGCCCCGCGGCTGATTCATAGCCTGGGCGCGGGGCCGCCCCTGCACGTCCACACCGGCGTCCGCACCCGCGGCCCCGCGCCGCCCAGGACCCGGCCCGGCCCGCGGAGCCCTCCGCCCGCCCGCGCGGGGTGAGTACCGCGGCCGCCCGCCCGCCCTCTTCCGCGCTCCGCCGCAGCCTTCCCCGCGACCCGCCAGCTTTTCCCCGCGCGCGGCCCTGGCGCGGCGCCCGGAGGGATCCCACAGCTCGGTAGCCCCTTCCCGGGGTCTGCCCGCCCTGCGCGGCGCCGCCTCTGCTCCGCGTTTGCTTTGGCTCGCGGTTCGACCTGCTCCGGGACGGTGTTCGGAGGGGTCCCCGCCTCTGGCCGGCCGACCCGCCCGGCGAGTAACACCGAAAGAGCTCATTCTTCCCGGAGCGCACGCTGCCGGGCCCGCCGCGGCATTTGTACCCGGCGGGAAGTTCACGGTCCCGTCGCTGCTTCCTCAGTAGTCGGGGATGTTTATTGAGTTAAAATTCCCAAGTAACCCACTTTTGCCTCTCTCCCAACACATCGCCACGGGAGTTAATTGTCCCCAACCACCCCCGCGCCCCCTGAACGCCCCCCTAACGTTGCCTCCGCTGCGCGCTGTCCGTGATGTCCTTCCTTCCCGTCTGCGTTTACACCTGGAAGTGGGCGGCGCTCACACCGGGGTGCCGCCTGGAGATCCCGGGGGCGCGGTGCTGCGGGCAGGCACCTAGTCTCCTCTGCCACGAGAATGCAAGGAGCACCGAGCTGGCCTGTTGAGCAGCGGGAGACGTGGAAATGCAAGCGCCCCACCCCTCACCCGCATAGAGCGGTTCAGGAACTTTCCAAGACCTGGAGCGGGCCGCGGTGATTCCGAAAACGCCGCGTGGCCCAGGGCTTTGCCCCTGACACCGTGAGTCTTTTATTGATACTCCTGGGCCTGTCCTTCTCAGCCCGTCCGTGCCTGCCCGCATGCATCCTGCCTGCCTGCCCCGTGGTGGGAAGCGCGCGTTTGGGTGCCACTGAGCAAGGCCACTTGGTAACCGACAGGCTGGAAGACACTCTGTGAATAAGCTTATGCTCCAACTCAAGACGGGTAAATGTGGGGGTCACTGTAGAGGATGCGATCGGAGTGAGTGTGGTATATTTGATTTGAGCTGCAAGGAAAGAAGCTTGGGGTATTGTGCCCGAGTCTAACGCTGACTTTGGGACTGGGCTGGAGTTACTCCTCTGGTCAGCCTTGCGCCGAATAATGATGGTTCACACTTAGCTGTGGCCCAGGTGCTGTTCTAAGTACTTTACACATGCCAGCTCACATAAGCTTCACCAGTGAGCTAGGTAGTAGTTTTGTCATTCTCCTTTTCTCAGTAAGGATACCAGGGCCTAGAGAAGTTCAGTAACTTGTCTGTGGTCACACAGCAAACAGGTGAGAGTCAGGAATTGGCTCAGGCTTCTGCTTATAAGCACTATGCTGTGCCTTCCAACTCTAGGACCCTCTTGGAGTGGTCCTGGAAGTGGTGCTCCATTACTGCCCTCCTTTGTCTCTCTCCTGGGCTGCTTTAAACTGCACCCAGACACCCTTGGGACTGAAGGGCCCCAGACTGAGCTGCGCCTCAGAATCTATCTTTTTAAAGCACTGGACTCCCACTTTCCTATCTAGAATCTTCAGGTCATGCCCAGTTTGTGTCTGCCCTGGTGGCATTCAGAAGTATTAGAAGCCAATAGTGGCGAGCTCACCGCTTGATATTTGATTGCTGGACAAGGTTAATTCGCAGCTGTAACTTGCCCCCTGGTGACTTACATCTTTGTCGCAGTTCTGCCTCTTGTTGTCCCAGCTAATGTGTCTGAGCGTTTTTGTGTCAAAGGCCAGCTTGACAGTGTCCAACAGGACTCAGGCCACGTGGGGGAAAATACTTTCTTACACACTGGGTCTCTTCCTTCTAGCCCTTTCTTTAACCTGAAAGACCAGGAGCACCTACACAGGTAGTGCGTGGAGGTGTACCAGACTCTCTGATGTTCCTTGTAACCCTTTTGTCCTGAAAAAGGAACTAAGTCAGAAAAACGACGATGGTTTTGAAAGAGAGATCAGTGGTAATATGCTTCCATAAGAGGGAGGACTATGTTTTCCTTGTGGGAACTGGGCTGGGGCATTGTTGGCTCCCTTAGAAGGAAATCCGAGTGAGTGTCCTCTTGCTCACTTACAGGAACAGTGAGACCTGGCCCTCCTTTCCCTGGAGAGGGAAACTCTCCTTGATTTCAAAAAAAAAAAAAGTGAAATGGGGAAAAATAAAACATACAATATTGTGAGAAATATGCCTCCCTCCAAGCAGGCTTCTTTGTAGTTACGTAAGGTGAGCGTTTCTTCCCCAGCAGCTGTCATTGGCTTCACAGCCTTCCTCCCCTTCTCATTTTAGTTCTCCAGTTGGCGCCGGAGCAACGCGGGGTTGGGGTGCCTAAAACCCCGCGTGTAACTTTGGTCTCCCCCAAAACTTAACTACTAGTAATCTACCGCTGACCAGAAGCCTTACTGATAACACAAACAGTTGATGAACACATTTTGTATGTTATATGTATGATATACTCTGTGTTTACAATGAAGTAAGCTAGAGAGAATGGGAGATGTTATTAAGAACATCATAAGGAAGAGAAAAGACACTTACAGTTCCATATTGCATTTATTGAAAAAAATCCGTGTATAAGTGGACCTGTGCAGTTTAAACCCACGTTGTTCAAGGGTCAGGTGTGCTGGTTTTTCAGCATTTATTTATTCCAGGTTGTCCGAATTTCATTTTTATGTTTTAAAAGTAATACAAATAATAACTGAATATGTTCTCATTCAGAAAAATAGAGAAGCATATAGAATGAAGTGTAGAACTACCATGGTCACTCCTACTCCCACTCAGAAGAGGAAAGATGAAGTTTGGTAAATAGCATTCTGAGATTTTATTTTGTTTTCTATGCATTTGCATAATAATGTATCCATACATATATCTTAATATATATAAATGAGATCTTACTATACATTGTGCAGCTTACTTTTTCATTTTCCAAGTCTTAGAGATTTTCCCATGTCAGTACAAACCCTTTTGTTAAAGGCTGCATGTTATTCTAAATTAGAAATATAATTTATCCATTTTTTTCCCTTATTGGACATTTGGATGGTTTAAAATTAGTCAGCATTGGCAACAGGACTTCAGGAAAGACTGTGCATTCATCTTTGTGTGTCGGCCTGAGTATTTCTGTGAAATAGAGTTCTAGGGTCAAAGGGTTGGTCCATTTTTCCACTTGAATCCTTCAAATCATAACACTGCGCCACCCCAGTCCTAATTTAAAATCAGTGCATGAGAATCTGTTTCTGTCATCCTTCCCATCAGCCATTATCTTTTTTGTTTATTTAAATTTTCAAATCTGGTAAATGAGTGAAACCCAATATGGCATTTTAATTTGCGTTTTGCTGATTACTACTGCAATTTAATGTCTCTTAATGTTTATGGGTCATGCGTGTCTTCTGTGAATTACCTGTTCCTGTCTTTTGCTCGTCTTTCTATTGAGTTGCTTTTTCTGATTCCTGTTTATTGCCGAAGCTCTGTACCTATTCAGGATCTTAATCCTTTGTCTGTTGTAGATGATTTAAATATTTCTTCTAGTATGATGTTCTTTTTTTTCCCACCAGTGTTTTTTGTGGTAAAATACATAATATAAAATTTGCCATTTTAATCATTTTTAAGTATACAGGTCAGTGTTTTAAATACACTCATAGTATTGTGCACCCATTGCCAACATTCGTCTCTAGAACTCTTTCCATCTTGTAAAACTGACACTCTGTGCCCATTCAACATAACTCCCCATTTCCCCCGGGCCCCAGCCCCTGGCAGCTGGCATTGTACTTTCTGTCTCTCTCAATTTGACTACTCCAGGTGCCTCCTGAATGGATGAATCATATAGCACTTTTCGTTTTGTGACTGACTTATTTCACTTAGCAAAATGTCCTCAAGACCATCCATGTTGTAGCTGGTGTCAGAACTTTTTTCCTTTTAAAAAATGAGTAATATTCCATTGTATGCATATACCACATTTTGCTTATCCATTCATAGTGCTTTTGTTTTAAACTATCTTTTGCTTCACAGACGTTTTAAATATTTGTGTAATCAACTCTGCAATCTTATGATTTTTTTACAAGATTTTATTTATTTATTTTTACTTTAGAGAGAGAGAGCTCGAGCGAGCAGTGGGAAGGACAGAGAGGGAGGGAGAGTATCTCAAGTCAGACGCTGCGCTGAGCTCAGAGCCCTCCACGGGGCTCAATCTCATGACCCTGAGATCATGACCTGAGCCGAAACCAAGGGTTGGTCGCTTAACTGATGAGCCACCCAGGTGCCCTGCAATCTTATGATTTTTGTGCTTCATCTGGCTTAGGGAGATCTTTTGCACCTAAAAATTATTTTGAAAATTATCTTATTTTCTTCTAATACTTTTATTGTTTTGATGTATACGGTTAGCTCTTTACAGTACCAGATTTTTGTATGAAATAAAAGGTAAGGATGTAACTTAATTTCTTTCTAAAGTTTTAGGCAGTTCACCCAACACCATTTCTTTAAGTATCCGTCTTTTTTCCAACTCACTTGAAATTCTGTTTTTATAGTAAAATAAATTCCTATTCATACAAGAGTCTATTTTAGGACTCTGTTTGGTTCCATTGATCTGTTTTGTCTCTTCTTAGCCCAGTACCACCCTGTGTTAAATGCTACAGCTTTGTTTTTATATCTAGTCATATATATTTGTTTTTTTTCCCAAAAAATTCTTTTAGAAATGATTCTCGTACATTTTCTCTTTTGTATAAGCTTTACAAATTGTTTGTCAAATTTTGAAAAATCCTTTTGGAATTTTTGTTAGGCTTTCTTGGGTTTATTTTATTTTATTTTATTTTTAAGATTTTATTTATTTATTTGACAGAGAGAGACAGCAAGAGAAGGAGCACAAGCAGGGGGAGTGGGAGAGGGAGAAGCAGGCTTCCTGTGGAGTAGGGAGCCTAATGCGGGGCTCAATCCCAGGACCCTGGGATCATGACCTGAGCTGAAGGCAGACACTTAACGACTGAGCCACCCAGGTGCCCCAGGATTTCTTGGGTTTATAATTGTCAAAAATTCTTTGTGCCTTAAAGTCCATTGTGGTATGAGCTCCAAGGATGGAGGAAGCAGTGTGAGATAGAAAAGTGCTGTGCTTTGGGGAATGACTCACCTGGTTTCAAGTTCTGGATTAACTATGTCAACCTATGTCAAAGTCACTTTTAAACTTCTTAGCCTTCATTTCCTCATCTATGTGCATTCTATAATAATAGAATTCTCTGTATTAGAATTCTATATATTAGAAATTCTATAATAATAGAATTTCTTCCATAAGACTCTTGTGAGGACTCAATTAACAAATTCATGTAAATTGCATCGCAAAGCCCCCAGCAGAGAGTTAGCATCCAATTTGTGCTAACTAGGGTCATTTTCATATTTATTTTCATATCTGACTATGGCCTCTGCAGTACACCTCGTCATAGAAGGAATTGGTAGATCTTTCCTTTATGTATCAATAGTATCCTAGGAGACAAAAATATGTAATAGATATCAAATATAGTAGTGCTTCTCAAACTTCAGTGAGCCTATGAAATCACCTGCGGATCTTGTTTAAATGCAAATTTTTGTTCAGTAGATCAAAGGTGTGATCTTAGATTTTGCATTTCTACCAATCTCTTGGGTGATGTCTTCATCCACACTTT